CGCAGCCTACGACCCCATCCTCGACGTGGCCGCAATCATCGCAGAACGCACATCTATTTGGACATCCCTCGCCATTGCACCCTACATGGTCTTCATCAGCCCCAACTCCACTGCCATTTACCTCATTGACTTCGGCTCCTCATGCAGTACCAGGCCCACAACTTGTGCCAACTATGCCCACACCTATGGCTCCTGAAACCACTCTGGTGCACACCGCTCCACCGACTTTTCCGAATCCCACGGCACCCACCGCTCCACCCACGTGGCATTCTCATCCGGCTCCATCACCTACGTCGACTACACCACCTACATCGACTACGCCACCGACACCTTTGCAGAGTTCTCCATACCCACCTCACCACATTCAACCTCCACAACCAACGGAAGCAGCGATGGTCCCTCCAGATGAATCTCCACCACCAGCAGTTAAGGCAGCTCCCAGGCTTCGCTCTGACAAGAAAACGGACAGACCACGTCGATCAGCTCCGAAAGCCTCTCCTTCTGCTACACCACCGGCACCAACGGCGGCACCGACTTCATCCGTTTCACCTGAACTTGTAGCGCTGGGATCCACTGCACAACAACTTGCGGAATCGGTTCGATTTATTCAAGCTCAACAACAATTGATCATGGATTCCCAACGAGCCCAAGAACAACGTCAGCTACTCCTCCAACACGATGGACCTCCACCGAACCCTATCCCACCGACACCATTGCCTACAACAGCTCTACCACCTATTGCCATGCCTCCACCTGCACCGAAAGCCAGACCCACCGAACCTGACGTTCCAGACCCTCGCATCATCCCAGCTCCAGCCATCGCTCCTCCTCACCACCTACATGCTCCACCATCACCAACGCGCCGACCACGATCCAGGACTCCAAGATCACGTTCCCGTCGACCTTCTGTACAATCCCATCACCATCGCTATTCTCCCCAACGTGCAGCTCGACCTCGTTCTCCTCTTCCTCGTTATCGGTCATCCACGAAACATCCCAAGGACCGCAGAACCCCATCACCATACAGACGAAGATCACCGCCAAGACGCCGCTCTCCCGTGGTTCCTCGACGTCATCGATCTCACCCAAGACCACGTTCCGCGACACCACGTCATCGATCCAGAGGCCGTGAAGTCGTACTTCGACCAGCTGCACACCCATCCAATCCAGCCTACATTCCCACTCCTGACGCTGATGACACCTGGGGCACATGGAACGACAGCCATTACACCGACAACTACCACCACAACACTGCTCGACCCAACTCTCCTGCCGATCTACCACCACCGGAACCACCTACCAACCCACCATCCCACACTTCCGCACCACTTGGCGCTGTGTCCTTCCGCGTCCCCGACGGTGACAGTGAAAATTCTGAGGTGGCAGATACAATTTCGATCTCAAAGTTCGACACGAATGACATCGACCTCAGTGAAATGGTTGAGGCGGCCAATGATCCCCTTAGGGTCCGCTGCTTGACTGAGCTTGGCCCCGACCATGTCGTGCCCCTACGCCAATCATTGACCCCGGCCATCTCGCAGCTCTTCAACCAATTCGTTGACGAGATGTTCCACCAGTTGGCTCAACCATATCGCACCGTCAACAACCAACGTATTTATATCAAAGCAAGCCAAGCCACCGTCAAGAACATTGCCAGGGCCTTTAAGGGGTTTGCCTTGCATTTGGGTTGCCAAATTGAATTGGGTTGCCAAACTCTGGCCTACCCATGAGCTGCTGCGATAGCAGTCAATGCTTTCACACCACACATCAGCACAACAATCATTATCCCCTCAGTGCCAAGCTCCACCTGGCACCACCATTAAATTACCAACTGCTTGGGCCATTTGCTTTGCCTTATTTAACCAAGCACACCAAGAAATGACCACTGCCCACCCAGGCCTGCCAAACACTAGCCAGTCATATATTATTGTTATTACTATGATCATTATTATGATTGATGATGACTAGTATTACTATTTATCTATTTTCGTATTTTTGCTTATTTATTGTCAATTACTATTGTTATTACTAGTATGATTTTAACGATTAGCATTATTTAAGTCATTATTATTATTATATATATGTAGATACATTATACACATCACATTCTTAACAGCATCGCATGGCTTCCTCCAGACCATGAATGCAGGCCCTTCCCATTTGTTCATAAACTCTTGTCAATTCTTACTCTCCCAAGCCATGGATGGCCCACGCTTGCTGATTTGTGAATGGCATCGCTCAGTTTTTCATCCTTCGAGTCGTGAACAACTTGAACACATTTAGGTGGTATAGCCTTTGGGACGCGACCCAGAGATAAAACATGTATAGTATAAGGATTCTGGGTGGCATGTGCAAACCATTACTCAATGTGTTATCTATTTGGGACTCAATGCTGCTGACAACCAGACCAAACAAGACAGGGGGTACCGTTGAGAGGGCAACAGACATAGAGTCGAGACAGGAACACGAGGAGGGACACAAACGTCAAGTGGTAGTAACCCACTATCTACTATACACGAACACAACAACGCCGCATCAACACAACAAACAAGCACAGCAAATCAACTGACATGTCAAGTGATAGAATGTCAACTGACATCAATGCATCGCAAAAATAAAATGAAATGAAATAAGCTACTAGACTTAGTCTAGAAATAAACTTGATCACTCGACGAGCTGGATCCTTGCAACTGAAATTGAATCCGCCGCACACTTTGCTCATGGTTTTCCCCGCCCGGCTGCCAGTCAGTCAGCTAGCTGTTGCCTTGCACATTGTGGGAGTATCAGCTACTCGTGAGCTTTCTTTGACGCAGGGGTACGTCCAGGCATAAAATCAACATCATCTAGTAGCAACACTTCGCCAAACTTAGCCTCAATCTCAGCAACGGTGCGCTGCTCACACTCACAATCTTTCGCGATCACTCTGAGGTTCAAGGAATCTGTCCTGCATTCATTTTGATGCACTTTGACTGCGCAATAAAGCGCACAAAAACAAAGTAAATACAGCAGCGGGTTGTGGCTTGACTCCTGCAAAGCCAAGGCTTCACATAACCCATGTAGCAGCTGAGGCAAATGCGTTGACAAGCCACCATTTCTAGAAAATACTGGGTCCTCTCTCCGGACATTAATATCGACAGGCCAGTCCGAATCTCACAGATTTAAAGCGAATGGCCAACTGCTTTGAACCAAGTGCGGGGCGCAATTCGACCCAAATCAAAGCGACTTTCATTTCATGCTGAGCTACTTAGTTCTGATCCAAAGCAAGGACAGCTGCCACACTGTGGGTCGCTCAAGGCACACCTTTTCCAGTTCAGCCCTGAAGTGCGCACACAAGTGTCTGTCAGCCAGAAGCTGTCACTGCCACTGAACCAAATTTTTACTGATTGACATCCGTTGCAATCAACGGCTGCTCTTCAAAACTTGAAAGTGGCTTCTAGTCAACATCCTCAGCCACCTGAGAGTCCGCAGGGGCTTCGACAATTTCATCTACAGCTCCTTCCTCCTCCTCTCCTCCCTCCTTGGTGCCGTCCTCAACTGAGACATCAGGAACTTCGACCTCAACCTCGGCGTCCTGAAAGCCAACGGCACTGGAGCGCTCAGGTGCTGGCTGAGTAGCAGTGATCTCTGCTGGTGGCTGATTCTGATGTGGGTCTCTGAGATCGTGGCCTGCACCCAAAAAGCAAATCAAAATTAATTGCTGACCCAGCCCATGTTGGAATGAATTGCACTGGCATTGATTCAGAATGAGCCTGCAACGAGCTGATTCTGCATTGTGGCCTCAAATTTGGACAATAAAGAACATGGAGCTAACAAGTCACGAAACACGCTGCTGAGCAGGCAAAACTGAGAAGTTGGCCACAACGTCTCGGACAGAATGATCACTCTTGCCCAACATCAGGTACTTGCGGCCAATGGCCTCAACCACGGAACAGCATCAATAAGATTTCAGTCTTAAGTTGAACGGGACATCATCATGCCAGAGGAATGTCACTGAGGCCAAGTCAGCAATCTCTTTGGCCTTGTCAGAATTCACATGGTTGCCACCCACCTGGCGCATCAGAAAAGAAATTGGAAACTTGACTGAAATCAAATGCGCTTCCAAACCAGACTGAGAAACAATGTTTGACTGATGATGGTTTGCCTGAAAGATCTGCTTTCCATCGCGCTTGACAGCAAATTTCCCTGTGGCTTTGTAGAGGTAGATACAGCTCACCTTCGGCTGCTTGCTGCATGACGGGGCACCATCAGGAGCATCACCTGGTTCATCACCGGGGTTGCTGCCGTCATCTCCTGCAACAGCAGCAGCTGGGCGCTTGAGCGCAGCACCAAGACCAGAATCATCACCTGGTTCAACACCTCCATCACTGTCCTCACCTGCAGCTGAACGCTTGACAAGCGCAGCGGTAGTGTGAGACGGACCATCACCTGGCTCGCCATCAGAAGCCGCAGCTGGGCGCTTGCGTGCAGCCGGCTTCTTCAGCTTCGACCCTGTCTGAAGAACGGACTTAGCCTTAGCCTTCTGTGGACCAGGCTTCGGCTTGCTCGGGCTGCTCTTGGCTTTCACAGAAGCCACAGGACTCTTCGGCTTGGCCTTGGCCTTGCTTTTTTGCATCGGGGGGGCATCCTGATCTGATTCACTCAAAGTGTCCACGTTGGCAAAAACAGCCATGCTCATGGTCCGGAACCAACTGGGAAGCGATCAAAATAAATCAGAGCTGAAATACCTGCAGTCATGATGATGGCAGCCTGACAGAGCACAACCTCCCAAGATGATGACTGACGAATACGAAGTGAACACCAAGCTGGCCATTCTCTCGGAAAAAAAACTATTGTGAATGCAATAGTTATATTATGATATGCATGAACTGAACTGTGGAAGAATTGGGCTGCTGTACAAGAAAATAAAAGTGGATGTGTTTTCAATCACTCCCGAACTGCCAGCGGTTCAAGGTCACGCTTCTAAGGAAGATTCTAAGAAGGCTATCACATCTCACAGCCACTCACAGCTTGGTCCATGTGTTCGGCGGGAGGACCATCCCAGCTGTGAGGTAGAGCTTCGGTTTGATCCCAACGATCTTTGGGTTGGCAGCTCCGGTTTGCACATCTACCTTGGGTTTCACAAATAATAAAATTTGACTTGAACAGAACATTGCCAACAGAAACAAACATGTATAGACTAACTAAGTAAGCATGTAAGACTTGACACACGGCATGGATTTAATTTGTCTCATAGGCACTTCCCAAAGGACCTGTGCATCAGGCCCACGCGGCAACTTGTCCATATGGCCACAAAATGCAGCCCCGATCGTAGCATGCCTGACAATGATCAGGCTGGACGTAAGGACCTAATAATATAATGGGCTGCAAGTTTGAAGCAGCATCTGACCATCAACTCGGATTGAATTGCAGGCTTGCAAAATATGATACCACCTTGATCCCGAGCCTCAAGTTCGCATCGCCCGGGCCAAGCAAGTTTGGCATGAAAACATTGCAGAGACCGTTCCTGGCAGCTGTCAACGTGTACCGATATGGCACAGGAACTTGCTCTGCATCGGCATTCTCCTGCCAGAGGGGTGGCCAAAAAAGGGAACAGGAATCCAGGAAAGGAGAAAAACATCTGACAATCTTGAATCACACAGAAACACAAACACACACACACAGAGTGTCAGTCTGGTCCCGCATCACCCCAAAAAAAGCCCGGTCCGTCGAGTACATCTTGGGAATGAGCTGGTGGTTGGCAAACTCAAATTCTGCCACTCCATGTACTGTGCAGCAATGGTGAAGGAAATCTGCGATGCAGTAAATCTTCCTCTCGTGCGAAATCAAAGAAAGGTCCGAATTAAAACGGAAGCAGAGCCCATCCAGCTCGGATTCGCCCAATCCTGCCATGGCATCATGTCCGTTCAAGGACGACCAAAACTCATGTTTTTCCTGAAAATGTTAGTGACCTGGCCGGCCTGCAATGGCCTTCTGCTGAAACGAGCCAGTGTTGAAGCCACAAAGCTCCGAAGCAACGAGCTGCATCTCTTGGTCGCTTTCATTCCCCACATACAAGCCAAAGTCGGTGCTGATGACCAAAGCTGGCTTGCCGCGGGAAGCAGGACAGTACGCTTTCCTACAGGGCACAAGGACTGGCTGATATGATAATATTTTCAAAAATGAATGGCTATATTCTAACAAACATACCCATTTAACCACCTACTATTTTTACAACACTTTAACCACCTACTATTTTTGGAACTCGAATATTTTCTCCTTGCCACATCGAAGGCGCTTTGCGCAATGTGCTCTTTCTCAATGATCCTCGCGGTGTCAAGTGGCAGAACACCGCCATCGATCCCAAAGTCTGGACGGCCAGCTGCCCTTGCTGGTGCGGCTCTTGAAGTGCTTGTCTCAGATCGCTGACTTGAACGCCGTCCTGCATCCGGAAACGCTTGGACAAGTTCTTTCTTCATGGCAAGGACATCTGCATGAGCATTTGACCCTTCAGAAAACTTCTGCAGCAGGTTCTCAGGGAACACAGGGGCACCACTGCTCCAACCCAACAGCTCCAGGGAGGGCTCCGAAATTGGCTCAGTTGGCCGCCGGGCTGGAGGCGCAGATTCTGAAGAATCCCAATGCTTGTACACCTTCTCCTCCAAGGCCACAGCAACATCTCGCTGGTCCTCCCGAAGGCAGCCAATGTAGTAAAGCGGTGGGCGCCGAATTGTATTGTCCAGGAGGCGGTCCAGCACTGCATGTCCAAACTCACCATACCTGCAAGAAGGCAAAAAGCCATGTCCAGGCATATGACCACTTGAAACATTTTTCAAATCCCAACACAAAGCCAATTAAAACATATCATAGGGGAAGAAGAGTTAAAGGTTTGCTACAGGTATGACTTCAACCCTATTTTGTCTTAATTTGGTCAGAAGAAATCCGGCCTGTTCGCCAAACAATCAGCAAAGATTGCCACGTCACCATCTTGCCAGTCAATTCCACGCAGGTAGGAGGCAATGATCTCCGAATGAGCTGGCACGCCCTTCCTGCCATTGTTTATTCACGATCCATGGCAAACAATAGAGAGAGACCTGAGAGAGCTAAGCTCTCAAAAAAGGGAACATCTTAAGAGCTCAATGGTTTGCTGAGACAATGTGCTGACATCAACCTCTCAATGCCAATGGAGTTCTAAGTTCCGAAAGCTTGCAATTTAATGCTACAAGTAAAATAATAGGCATTAAAAATTATAATGAAGAAATTAACACCCCACCCCCAAACCAGCCATGAACAGCCGGGCCACTGTTCAGTTCGTGCTGCAGCACCAAATCTGTTGTCTGGGTCAAAGCCTTGCATGTCAGAGACACGAATGAGCTGACAAGGCCCAATCACACATTTCGAAACCGCAGCGGCGCCCAACCAAGCGTTGGCCTGCTGGTGGTCAAGGGCTGTAACGAACAGGCATGGGTGATTCACACACCTCTTGTCATTCGCATGGCTCGATGTCTTGTCAAAGGTCAAGGCCACTCCTGTGGTGATGTCCATCCTCCCCTTCTTCAGTGCGTCCTCCAATGTACGCCTGTGTTTGATCCATGCATCAGTGGTTGTCTGTGACTGCATCACCGGAAGCTGACAATGGCCGGCATTGTTCGGAGACATTTGAAGGACATTGACCAGGGTTGCCAGGCAGTTGTTCACATAAGCAGAATTGGGAGGCCAAACGCAGGTATCCAAACTGCACAGCACAAACCTCAGTGTGGAATGAGCAGGGTGACGGAAAATCAGAATCACTTGGTGTGCTAACTATGCCAGATCCAAGAACCTTCAATAGAATATTATGTCAGGGTAAAATAGTGTTAGGGTTATATCAGAAAGGGTAAAACTTAACAGAGCCTGGCCTGCAGGGGCGCATGCATGTAAAATAAAAACAGTGTTGGAATTATAGGTCAGAGAGATATGGCAAGATTATGTCAGGTTAAAACCATAATGATGTCAACACACAATCAGAAGGACAAGTAACACCCGGGAAACTCCCTCCTTTGACGTCCACTTTGAAATGAAGCTAGCGATCTCCGCAAAGTGGTTGCCAGCTGCATTGGGATCCTGCGTCTTGGGGAAGATCAGCTTGCACTTCCAGTCCATGAAGTCCTTTGTGTAGTCCTGTCCCTTCCTTGGTGCACAGCCCAGCTGGCCAAAAAACATTGTGAAAATTGTGCCATCATTCCAAGTTCAAAAATGAAACGATTCATGCAAAAAGTGAATGTATGTGGCCATGGCTCTTCTGTCGCTCAGACAAATATTTCTTGTCAAGGGCAGCGTCTCGGGCAACTTGTGTTTGATCTGGAACCCTCGCACACAAGACAGCCATGTCCTTTGCGAAAGTGTGCCTCAAATGTTCGACAGTAGCTTGGCTCACTTTCTCTGCGAGTTCTCGCTCAGTCTGCTGGGCCTCACGCAGCTTTCGCTGCTCAACAGTTGTGATCATACTCCTGGCCGCACCAAGTTCAAACATAGCTGTGATCAACAATCGTGTTGGCACACCTCTTGTTTAAATCAGGTACGGGGAAAAAAGCACAACAGGGGGTGGAAAACATTGTACCGCCCTGAACCTATGTTCAATCCCAGCCGGGCCCGCTGCTGCTCCTGATGAAAGGCACCTGCTCCAAGGAAATTGGAGGGACAGTCGTCTCCAAGAAGGTGACGATGTCCCCATCCAGGATGCCAAGTCTGAACTGCTCCACGAGTCCTGGCAAAGCCTCCCGGAAGTCCTTCTGCGGCACTGACTGTTTGAGCTGCTCGATGATGGCGTTGAAGCCACCACATGCTGCGTGCACACTCCAAGCATCACGGTACAGCCACGGTTTTTTCGAGCTTGCACGATCCCAATCCCCTTCCAAACGCTCCAGAAAGAGCTCGGCCTTAAGCCGGAAGACTGTGAAACTCTTGGCATCTTTTTTTGACATGGCAACACAGCAACACGTTGGAGGAATCAAACTATAAAAGTTGAAAGGCATGCTGAAACCCTGATCGGGAAACAAGCTGGTTGTCCTCAAGGTTCGTGAGCTCCCCTTGCCATGGAATCAAAGCGCCCGACTTTCCTGAACTCCACCCAACATTGAACATTTCAGCCGCCAACAAGGCATGCGTCAGCCACTGTCGCATCCCACGGGTGCGCACACTCTCACGAAGCTTTGCCACCATGTCCTTCTGAATGCAAGTCTGAAGGTGACACACCGACTTGGATTCCTTCTCTCCAATTTGAAAAGCTCGTGCGACTGCTGTGGCGTTGTGCCACTCCTTGGATTTTGATCTCAAACCCGAAACCTACATGTAATTTAATTGTTCTGCAATGTCATATGCTACCTTTGTTTCCCCCTTATGCTTTTGACTGGAAGCCTCAGGCGGGCGTCAGGCCCAAGACATGAATGCGCATGAAAAAAAAAATAGGAGACGATCGGCTGTGAAGTCTGACTCCTCGCCGCTCTTCTTCAATATCTCCAGTTGCCGAATAAAATTCATGGCGTTTGGTGGACGACGTGTTGCTGTAGAACTCAGGGTGATTCCTGACAGTCACCCATAAGGTTTCCCCACAGAAAGTATTTCACAGGGAGGAAGCATTTCGTGGTTTTTTCGCCACACAAAAAACGATGGAGTAAGTTAGCTATGATCATGTGAAAATCCTTTTTGAACCGACCCGCCCACATCTCACGTTTTCTTCACGAGAAGGCTCCATGGGTAAACATTGCTAATGAAGCAGTAAATGGTTAAAAGCTGACAGATTGACTGAACATTCACCACAGCTTTTGGGTTGGAATGAATACAAACAGCCATTGATTTGATATACCTGCTACAACCATCATGTTTCCAACGGAAGCAAAAATTACTTTCTTCGAGTGCCCCCACCAACTGGCAGTCTATCTCACTCACTCTCACATTCTTTCTGGGCTCCTTTAATGGCATTCTCTATCCGAAAAATATTCTGTCATTCTATCCGGCCTTCCACTTCTATCTTGTCGACATACACTTTGGCATTCTATCTGACATTATCTGGCATTCATTCTTTCGGCATTCTATCTGACATTTTATCTAGCATTCTGTCCAACGTTTGCTCTCTCAGTCTGGCACATGAGCTGGCATTCTACCTGACATTCGTTCTGACATTCTACCTGGCATTCTTTCTGGCAACTTAAAGTTATCTGACATATTCTACGTCGGTTATACTTTGACTATGTTTCTGGCATTCTTTCTGTCATTTAGCATTCAGACATTATATCCGTGCGTGCCCAGCCTGAGCCCAAGCTCCCTATGGTAGCATGTTTTCCCTCTTAAAACCCCTTTTGCAATCCCAAGCCAAAAATGAAAAGAACAATTCGTGCCCAAACTGCCACTTGCAAGTCCCGTGTGTGCCCAGACTGCTGTGGAGCTCCCAATGAGCTGTTGATGCCCAGAGAACAACAGAGGAACAAGGACGGAGGAGGGGCTACAGGCTGATTTTCACCTGACACGTGAGGGTCTGTATATCTATGTTTCCTAATATCTGATTTGCACCACTCTACACTTGGAAGTGCTTCGAACCAAATACTGAATAACGCTCAAAACCATTTGTGTTAAGAGTAAAAATAACTGTGGGCAGCCCACGACATAAAACAATGGCATGAGGGTGGCAATAGTTGCGGGGATCTTCCTCAAGATCAGGAGACTGAGGTCGATATAGATTATGATGACCTTGGGACAGATGATTTTGATTACCTTTGCCAAAAAATGGCCACGACGCGCAAAGATGACAACGACCACGACGACGACGACAACAACGAGGACGAGGACGAGGACGACGATGACGACGACGGCGGCGGCGACGACGATTACGACCACGACGACGACGACGACGGTGACCAGCATGATCATGGAAACAAGCATGCTGGTGAAAATGGTGACTACGATGATGATGACATGATGACATGATGACATGATGACATGATGATGATGATGGTGATGGTGATGGTGATGATGATGGTGATGATAATGGTGATGGTGATGATGATGTTGATGATGATGATGGTGATGGTGACAACTACTATGACAGGGACAAGGATGAAAACAACAACAGTGATGGTCATGGTGTTCATGATGATCATGCGGGCGATGTAAAGCGATGATGGTGGCGAGGAGGAGGAGGAGGAGGAGCAGGAGCAGGAGGATGATGGTGACGATGGCAGCAATCAATCAGATTGACTGATGTAACAAGCATGACAGTGATGATGCTGAATATGATGAAGATGAAGAAAAAGAAGATGATGATGATGAGGATGATAATGATGGTGATGATGAGGATGATGGTGATGATGATGGTGGTGATGATGATGGTGATGATGATGATGGTGATGGTGATGATGGTGGTCTTGATGCTATAGCGGTGCTGATGATGGTGGTGATGATGATGATGGTGATGATGATGATGATTATGATGATGATTATGATGGTGATGATGATGATGATGGCACTCATGATGACGAAGACTATCGTGATGACAATGATTCTGATGATAACGATGATGATGATGATGATGAAGAAGAAAAAGAAAGAGATGATGGTGAAGATGATGCATCCCCCCACACCCCGAAACGAGAGACGACCAAACGACTGCATGACCGCATCTGAGCACTCAATATGGAAAAGAACAGCAACACTACTAGACAGTAGCTGGGGCCATTTTTCACAATGAACCCATCTGGAAATCACAGCTTCAGGCTACAGGCCAAAAGCAACAACCTAAAATTCCTGGCTAGAAACAATCAATGATTTTGACTTGCGGCTGTAGCTTACTTGAATGCAGCAAAAGGAGAAAAAAAAACAGAGGCTGAGAATTTGCAAGTCCAGGACTCCACGGCTTGCCCAAATAGCCTCTTTGGATGTGGAATATCTCCCCACAGCTCCATGAACAACACGAAGCGACGCCTATCAGGCGAGGGCAAAATTTATTTGTTCCTGGAAGGTTCGCCACATTCAACTTCCTCTAAGCCTAAACCTTAAGACAAACTTTGCCTAATCAGGGCGAAACCATTGACATCCAAAGTCAAACCCTTTGTCCTTGAAGTTGTCGGTCAACTCCGCAAGCTCGACCCCCAAGCTTCTCACCCCCTCGCAGCAAATCAACATGGCAAGGCTTCGTCTCCAGCCTTTGACGAAGCCAACGGACCAGGGCGGCAAGATGCCTGATTGCAGATCTTTCAGGCAACATCCGACTTGAATTGTGCACTCAATCAAATTTGATTGGCAAGCATGAAGCAGTAATTTGACTGCAGAACCGAAAGCTATTTAATACGATTCCCAACAGGAAGCCCGCACCTTCCACAAGCGGGGCAAGCTCTTTGTAAGGAGTCTCCAGCCAAGCCTTGTTGGGGACGGTCACACTCAGCTTTTCCACTCCTCCTTCATTGGCATCTGTCCTGAACCTGAAGATTTGCTGTGACAAATCACAGCTGCCTGCCGGCATCTCAAAAAATGGTTCATTAAATCTGAAGCCTGTCACGTGCTCAAAATACACGATGCCTCTATTCACAGCCACGAAACCCTTGAGTCAAGATTAGCTCCATCAAAGTACACAAGTCGAAGGGATCTGCCATTGATGCCAATCCAAAATCTGACCGAAAGGACAACTGCCAGGGTCGCAAGTATTTCGGCCCGACGCTCATGTCAGGACTGTATTCGATCCTGCACCAATGCGACTGCTACAAACAGTGACTTGAAGTCACTTCAATTTGATGTGTCACTGCATATGTTTGAATCAGAATATATCTTAAAAGCATCCGGCCTTCCACTGGCTGGGAAGCATGTGTCGATCCAAGCTGCAAAATCCATAAGCTCTTCCTGTCAACACCAGCTACAAAAAAATGCACAGCATTGCAGTGTCAACATCAAATTCAAAATTCTTGCGCACAGGTCGCAATCCTTGGTTCTGTACTTCTTCATCAAATATTGATCGGCCCCTCCCTGTGGCACGACAATTGTCATGAACCTGGGCCATAACAGTCAATGGAAAGGATTGGAACGGTATGTCAATGTTCTATCTACATCTATTTGACTCGTTTGACTGCCAAAAAAACATTCAGACGAACAGCCACTCGCAAATGCGCCGAACGTGGGCCACCTTCGGGTCATCAAGACTCTCCTTGGAATTGCTTTTGGCAACTCTTTTGGCTGCACGCCCGCCACCTGACGCTGTTGATCCTGTTGATACACGTTTCGGCATGGCTGCCGCCAAAGGCAAGTGAAATCTTCCCCAGTCACGGGGCTAGAGCAAAAATGATAATGGGAAATCAGTGACGGGTTTTGTTGACATGGAAAGTCCACATCAAGCTCCCCCCAGAACTCGCAGTCACACTGGATTAAAGCTTCTTTTTCTGCGGCAAGTTCAATTATCCCTGCTCCTTCACTCCTTCGAAGATTGGCCATGGGCTGGCCTGCAGCAACAAACCAATGACAACACATAACAAATCTAATCTTATGTCAACGATAGCCTAGCAAAAAGTGATGCAAATGAGCTCCCTACAGTCATTCGTAATTCTCAAGATGTGGTTCATGTGGTTTAAGTATTCCTCAAATGGGATTGCAACGCCAATGTTTGATATTTTTCCAGTGGCCTGGCCACTGGCTGAAACTTATGTGGCATTAATAAGCATGCCAAGACATATGGAGAAATCTCATGTTGCAGTGTGAGATTTTTGCGGAACCACAGGGCACCAGAGTGTCCCTTACATCGTGGAATGCTTGGTGGACAGTCTTGCAGTTCTGCTTATACTGACAATGCAAAATCATTGAAAGACTGAGCTTCCACCTTCAGGGGCCCATGATGAGCTTGGAAAGTTGATGGCTTCCACCTCCAGTGCCGAGGGCAGCTGACTTTTTGAATAATGACAAGGCGGGAGACACGATGACTCAAGTCAAAAAGCAAGACTCAAGTCAAAAGCAAGTCTCGCATTCAAAGCCACAAAAGGCACAATTCAGCTGCAAAATAAGTTTCTGGCTGCAGCCAGAACACAGCCTGGAAGTGAAATTTCAATGGGCACAGATTGGATTCAACTCGTGCACTTAAGGGGACAGCGACAGAAAATCAAAATTGAAGGCAGCAAAAAAAACATAAAACCCATTGAACTCTGCACCTTGCCACACACGCTGAGTTCAAGACTGGGCCGCATCCAGGCCGAAACAATCCTGCTGGTAGTTAAGCAAGGTCTTTAAAAAGCAATAGCCAGTTATTTCAAAAGTCTTTGGGCTTCAGAATGACTGGGTTCCTGGCCTGGTTCTCATATTCAAAGCGGCCTGCCAATCAAATTGTGAAAGCACTCCGCGGCTGCAACACAGGCCCGGATGTGTGACTGATTTGACCGGGGATTGGTCACAAAACATTGGGTCAACATCCCGAAGGATAACCAAAATCACAGCACACAACAATGTAGCCAGGAACAGGCAACCCCTAAAGTGAAATTGCCGCAGGTTAAAAAATCAACTGTCAACCCTAAGGCCACGATTTGTGACTGATTTGACCTGGGATTGGTCACAAAACATTCGGTCAACATCCCAAAGGATAACCTAAATCATCATCCACGGTGATGAAGCTAAGAACGGATGACCCCTAAAGTGAATTGCCGCAGGCAAAAAAATCCACTGTCAACCCTAGGGTCATGATTTTGTGACTGATTTGACCCGGGATTGGTCACAATACATTGGGTCAACATCCCGAAGGATAACCAAAATCACAGCACACAACAATGTAGCCAGGAACGGACAACCCCTAAAGTGAATTGCCGCAGGTTAAAAAACCCACTATCAACCCTAAGGCCACGATTTGTGACTGATTTGACCTGGGATTGGTCACAAAACATTCGGTCAACATCCCGAAGGATAACCAAAATCACAGCACACAACAATGCAGCCAGGAACGGACAACCCCTAAAGTGAATTGCCGCAGGTTAAAAAAATCAACTGTCAACCCTAAGGCCACGATTTGTGACTGATTTGACCTGGGATTGGTCACAAAACATTCGGTCAACATCCCAAAGGATAACCTAAATCATCATCTACGGTGATGAAGCTAAGAACGGATGACCCCTAAAGTGAATTGCCGCAGGCAAAAAAAACCACTGTCAACTCTAGGGCCATGATTTTGTGACTGATTTGACCCGGGATTGGTCACAAAACATTGGGTCAACATCCCGAAGGATAACAAAAATCTCAGCACACAACAATGTAGCCAGGAACGGACAACCCCTAAAGTGAATTGCCGCAGGTTAAAAAAATCAACTGTCAACCCTAAGGCTACGATTTGTGACTGATTTGACCTGGGATTGGTCACAAAACATTCGGTCAACATCCCAAAGGATAACCTAAATCATCATCCACGGTGATGAAGCTAAGAACGGATGACCCCTAAAGTGAATTGCCGCAGGCAAAAACTATGTCAACCTTGGGGATCAGTTTTATTATGATTGATACCCACAGCATGAATCCATTGAAACCTTATCAGATACAGCCTAACTTACCCATTGCAAAACAGTCACCCCTGGGAGTCAAATATTTGTAAATATTTGTAACCAGTTCATGTAACAAGCTTAACTTTGGCCCTTGGAAAGCGTCACAACCAATAAGCACTGCCAACCTTGGAATTTGTGACGGATCCGAGGTCGGATCAGTCACAAATGATAGGGCTGGTCCATCTGACTGACTCCCATTTTTTTTGCTGGGTTTGGCCCCTTAGTTTATCAATCATGATTTGTGACTGATCCGACCTCGGATCCGTCACAAATGGCACCTTGTCTCTACATCGGGATTTGTGACCCTGAAATTTTTGACAAACAAACTGGTGTGACGGATTTGAGTCAGGATCCGTCACACAAGTTGTGGAAGCAAAACTGGGTGTGACGGATTTGAGTCAGGATCCGTCACACAAGTTCTGAAGTCAAAACTTGGTGTGACGGATTTGAGTCAGGATCCGTCACACAAGTTCTGAAGTCAAAACTTGGTGTGACGGATTTGAGTCAGGATCCGTCACACAAGTTCTGAAGTCAAAACTTGGTGTGACGGATTTGAGTCAGGATCCGTCACACAAGTTGTGGAAGCAAAACTGGGTGTGACGGATTTGAGTCAGGATCCGTCACACAAGTTGTGGAAGCAAAACTGGGTGTGACGGATTTGAGTCAGGATCCGTCACACAAGTTCTGAAGTCAAAACTTGGTGTGACGGATTTGAGTCAGGATCCGTCACACAAGTTCTGAAGTCAAAACTTGGTGTGACGGATTTGAGTCAGGATCCGTCACACAAGTTCTGAAGTCAAAAGTCACACTTGGTTTTGACTTCGAAACAGGTGGGACGGATCCTGACTCAAATCCGTCACACAAGTTCTGAAGTCAAAACTTGGTGTGACGGATTTGAGTCAGGATCCGTCACACAAGTTCTGAAGTCAAAACTTGGTGTGACGGATTTGAGTCAGGATCCGTCACACAAGTTCTGAAGTCAAAACTTGTGTGACGGATTTGAGTCAGGATCCGTCCCACCTGTTTCGAAGTCAAAACCAAGTGTGACGGATTTGGCATGAATCTGTCATAAAAAGTTGGGAAGCCAACACCGCCTGGGTAAATGTGCCTTTGAAACCTTTTGGACTCAAGCAAAAACTCCAAATTTGTTGGGAGATTCTGGAAGAATAGGTGTGGAGCAATCCCATAGTGGTACTCTGTGTAGATACCGTCCAATCCTTGTGTTTTGGGGAAATAGCACCCATGATTCAATCCCAGCGTTTGGGGAAATAGCACCCATCGGACTGTTGGGGGAACACTATATGTAAATCCAATCCTGGTCTTTTGGGGCTTGTCAGCTAGAACAGTAATCCCTATGACGAACTAACCATTATAATCTGTCAACATCAAACAGCATTTTGCCCAATTTTTGTTTCCTGGTGCTTGCGGCACAGGGCATGCCTGGTAGAATTAGGCCTTCTGGCCCAGCCTTGTCTCTTAGCGAATGATTGGGAACATGATTTGAAAATAATGAGCGTTGAAAAAAGTCTTTCGGATTTGGAAATGTCTTGAAGCAAACATCATGTGATTTTGCAAACATCAGCTTGCTGGAAGACAAGTCACCCACGCTGTGCACGCCGTTTTGGCGCAGCAGCCCCTTTGGGAACGGGTTTTGCTTTGGGATTCGCAGCCTTCACTGCTTTTGTGCACACTTGTATTGCAGTACCCCATGGCACACCATTTGCCCATGCTTCTGCAGCAGCTTCTATCGCAATGCGCTTTCTGGCGGAAGCAACGTAATGTGTGATCTGGTTTCTGGCCTCCTTCCCATCGTGTTTTCCCAACCTCGGGTGAAACTGGATTTCAAAAACAATTTCATCAAAAGTGCTGCTGGCCCAATCTAGCCTAGCCTAGCCTAATCTGGAAACACAGCAAAACACGATCGAAGTGACGAGCTGCCCAAGATATCCAGGAACTGGCTCGAAACTCTGCGGCCGCCCCACCAAGGAATAAGTTCCACCGGTCGACTTGATGGCACACCTCATTTTGTCAGTTCAAGACGTCGACTTCATGACGTTAAAACGCAAAGACATGCACACTCACACACTACTTCAAAAGGTGCAAATTGCAAAAGCAAAACTTTGTAAATTAAAGCTGCCATGAAACGCAGAAACGTCCGCCAAAGGTTCCAGAGGCAAAGTTCCCTGAACCCATTGCTCCAAGTAATCAGCAGCTGAATCCATCCCGTACTGTCGTAATACTGGAAGGTACTTATTGAGCACATCCTTCTTCAGATCAGTGGACACTGGATTCTTTGGGGCCACGCCTCCAGCGGATGGCCGGAACTAGCCATATGTTTTGGGTCTCAAACTGCCTAACAAGTTCCCTATTGTGAATCTGACAACATTGAAACATCCCAATGGTTGTCTCATCTCAATAAAAAAAATTGGGGAATGCTTGCTAAAGCTTTGAAAATTATCATGAAGGTGAGGAACTTTGCAGATTTCCAAACAGAATAATTTTTGTGGAAAAACTTAGGACTTAGGTCCGGTCCAATATCATAGGGGAACGTCACCCGTATTGTGCACCTTGAGGAAGACAGAATGGTTTCTTTGGAAAAGGGTTCCCCGAAAAATGGCGGCTTAAAAATACCTGCCGCGCATGGTACCAGTATCAGAAGAGAATTTGGGACATTCTATTCATCTCGCGCATTTTTGGGATGGATAGTTCAACAATAATC